TAAATCGCTAAAACGTCTAGTCATAAAACAATTGGAGATATCTTGAATGTAAAGGCGGTACAACCGAATTTATGTTAAAACATCTTGCCATAACAGCTGTTTCTGCGTGCAACATGCTCATGTACTCTTTCTTGTCATGGTATCCACACTGCAAAAACTGTAAATATCAGCTGTGCTGCTGCCATCAACACCTTTGTTCATAGATGTTGGAACTTGCCCTTTTTTCAGTGTAGTCCTGTTTCTCTGACTGTGACTAACTGGATGTGCTCTGTTCATCCTCTGAAATGGGAGCTGGATTGCAGCTCGTCTGCCCGGCTGTGTGTTTCCTGGACGAGGCCGCCTTCTTTTGTATCTATGCTTCTTGTATCTATGCAGATGGCCGCTCCCAATGACCCTGGTTCTGCTGGAGTTTTCTTCCTTTTAAAACTGAGTTTTTCCTCTCCTCTGTCGCTACAAGCATGCTTAGTGTGAGGGATTGCCTTCGAGGCAATGAGTCGATGCAATCAGCTGGTTTTCCTTAGATAGAAAACTGTGAATGAATCTGACTGGATAATCTAGTGAATTGTAAAGTGCCTTGAGATGACGTGTGTTGTGAATCAGCACTATAAAAATAAACTGAATTTAATTGAATTAAATCAAAGTAAGTCTCTTTCTCTTAAAACAGGTGCTTGAATTTAGCAGGTTAGTGAGACATTTTGCCAATGGAACAAGAGAATATAGATTAAAAATAAGAAAAAAAACTATACATTGTCTTATTTGAAGTGCATATTATCTAATTATCTTATTTAAAGGTAAAAATGCTCATTCTATTGGCAGGTTATCTATGCCAATAGAATGAGTCTGAAAACTGGCCTTCTGAAAACATCAGCATCCAGCATGCATTTGGTGAAGCAAAAAAAATTTAGAGCACACTTCATTTAAATGCACAAAATATCAAAAGCATCAGTTATCCTTGATATAAGGCTGGTTCTTCAAAACCCCCCAAAAAAAAAAAGTAAATACAAATTGAAAAGCTGTCTTTATTGTTTTTTTTACCTTGGTCCAACTGCTCTAAACTGTTAACCTACAATGCTTTAATGAAAAACCTTTTTTTCCTACAGATAAGTAAAGATTCTAAAGTTTCTGTCTCTAAAATACTTGGTGCTATATCTCAGTGAGTTTTTTTTTTAATACTAAATCAACTTTAATACTGCTAGAAATACAATTTTTCTAAACAAAAAAACAAACAGAAAAACATTTAACACAACTGAACTAATCACAATAATAAGAGACGTAAATCTTCTTATATAAACAGAGCTGAAAATAAAAAAAACAAATATATGATCCCAAACTTATCTGAAATTAAGCTATAAGGAGCACATGCTTAAGATTGTATCAGTCCCTCCGCCTACATAAACTGCAGGCTGATTAGGGTAGAAGCACAAAGGCTTAAAAAGCCCTCGGTCCAAAAATGCCAGAGAAAGTGGATGTATAACAATGTTGGTGAAGGGACCTAAAACTGACCATGTCAGCTTTACTCATTCCCAGCCATTAGACATCATTAGAATGTCATAAAATTAGGAAAGCATTAAGTAAGATCTAAATGATTTTTTGTTTAACTTATTTAAATAAGCTTTCTGATGTTCCATCTTTTCCCATTTTCATCCTGAAGAACGGCAGCAACATGTTTGATCGTAGTTAGTCTATATCCAGACCTCAGCATTCCTCTGCTTGCACATTCCACTCTCCCTCTTGCTCCTTTCTGCTCTCTGTGAGTTAGTTTTCTTTGCTTGTCCTGGTCTGACTTCCACTTCCACATCCTTAAAGTTCAGAGCACATCTCCATTCAGGCTGCTGACCCTCCACACACTCCACAGTAGGGAGAGAGCTGCTGCTGGCCACTTCTCTGAAGCCAAAAGAAGGTGTTAGAGATGGGCTGTCTAGAGGAAAAGGTTTGTATCCACTCTGGATACCTGGACAGCTGCTACAGGACTTGTTCTCCCTTAGCTTTAATGATTGGCGAATCTTCTTCCAGCCCAGATGATTTAGTTCAAGGAAGTTGAGCACAATGCAGAAAACTCCGACACAGAACATGAAGAGGAGGAAGATGGTCTTCTCAGTGGGCCTGGACACGTAGCAGTCCACTGGCTGACTGCAAGGGGAAGAAGTGCAAAGAAATTGGACTGGTACCTGAAAGCCATACAGCTTCCACTGGGCCAGGACAAAGCCAATTTCCAAGATGGTCCGTATACACACATGGAAAATGTAACATTTGGACAGAACTCCACAAGAGGCCACTTGAACCAAAACAGAGCCCTCTTTGTAGGAGCCTGCTTGGGCCTGCTTTAAGGGCACTATGTTGACGAGGTCTTTCTTCTGTAGGTTTGGGGGAACGAGGTCCTTCAACACATCTGCTAGGCTGTGACCTAGATGCTTATGGGATTGGATTGAGCAACTGTCGGAGTCACAGCTGCAGTCAAAGTCCTCCTTTCCTTCTGCTTGCTCTCCAGCAGGGCGTCCATGCCTCTGTCCTTTCCCCAGCTTCTGAGAGCTGTTCTGGGACTGCTTGGACAGGTTGTGCCACGTGTAAATGATGAAACAAAGGGAGGGAGTGGAGACACTGATTATGTGGAACACCCAGAACCGAGGCTGTGAGATGGGAGCAAATGTGTCATAGCACACTGTTGAACATCCCGGTTGTAGTGTGTTGCACACAAACATCTCCTGCTCATCCGTGTAGAGGTCCTCTGTAGCAACAGCAACAATGAGCAACCTGAAGATGACCATGACAGTGAGCCACAGGCGTCCGATCATGGTGGAGTGATGGTGGACAGCATCAAGAAGACGTTTGAGTAAAGTCCACTCTGTCATGGTGTCCTGGTGGTGTAAGTATCTTTAAAAAAGGAAAAGGCGCAAGGCCTGGAGGTAGCGGTCCCAACTTTCCCTCTGAACCACTGAAACATATAGACTTGCTGACAGCTTGAAGAATTTCTGGTTCTCCCACGATGTGGTACCTTACCTGTTGTAGATCCTATTAGTTTCTGTTATTCCTACAAACTGCATCTGTTTAATCCTCGATTAGTTCCTTTAACTGAAGAGTGTCTCATGTCCCCCTCTGTTGCCTCATGTTTGCTAACTCTGCAGGCTGCCCTACTCAGAATGGAGCCTCAGTAAAAGAACCACCCATCTTTTATAGATAAGGAAATCAACTTGACATGAGTCACTTGGCACACTCACATCTCTCTTGTTCTGAGGATCCATTTTAAACCCGGGGAGAAATCCCTGTTCCTTCTTAAGAGCAGCTGCTGATAACACAGTAAGAGAGCATTCTTCTCTGATTAGTTCCCTCAGCACCAAGGAGATGGTCCAATAATGGCAACACACAAAATAAATATGTGAGATTCCTAACAGTCTGCATGATTTAAGCGACAAAAATTCCCATGCAAGATATTTGTGTCAAAGAGCTGGGAATTCCTCTATCTTATCAGGAGGAAAAAAGTTGGCTGAAGAAAGAACTGCCATGGTGACAGACAATCTTTGCCTGGTAGACTTAGTGCATAAGGGAAGTTTTGGACAACCTCCCTTAATTCACTTTGCCACTCCTCTTATCTGTGTTTTAAAAACAGCCTATTGAAGCCTCTGCTTGGCTAAATATGTTTTGTGCCAAGACAGAAACAAGTGACAACCATTTCTAACACCAAAGGCTGCCTGTTCAACTCAGTGTTTGGCTTTTTGACATTGAACAACTTGGTTATTGGTAAAACATTTAAAAGGTACTTCCAGGAATTTTAATTATATCAATGCAAAACAAATGTCTATAGTATCCAACCACAGTCATGATCCTTTTGTAATCTTTGCATGATCTGTATTGTTTAATAACTTTTACAGACGTTCAATGTGCTTCTACATTTGATCCTGTTGTATCTATTGTTGTTTTTAAAGCCCGGCATACGCTGCACAATATTTTCAATCTTGTACTCAGCTACAGCTCAAACTGTACAACAAAACCTCAGAGTGTAAAAGTTTCCAGCTCATGATGCATATTCTTACATTGTACAACCCAATGCACCTGTGCACATTGTATATCCACACTTTGGACTCAGCGCCGAGAGATGTCGCTGGTCGGACTTCTCAATCTAGAAGAAGAAGAAGATGTTTGATTTTCTCCCGACCTTACCACTCCTGATTGGGATGTGGTCATGAGAGGCTAATCGCCCTTCATTACCCCCTGTTTATTACACGAGGCAGGACGCACCATGAGGCTGAAACTTGGCTAAACCCAGCCTAAGATGTACCTCTGGCACAGCACTAATTAAGCGAGTAGATGTACTTAATTTTTTTTGTCGATGTCTTTGAAAACATCACTGACCCTAACCTTCAATGATTCAAACATTTAATCTAACTACAGGTCACAATAAAGCCCAATTTACAAAGTAATGGTACAATTTCATAGGGGGTTTTAAAGGGTAATTAAAGTCATTAAAATCACAAATAAACATATAATACATTTTAAAAAAAGATAAATTAAAATGAATGCTTTTGAAGATGTTTTCATGATTTGTTGCAAGAACACTTTTCTTGGATTTCTTTTAAATTGGACCCAATGCAAGTTTTAGGATCAGAACTTTTTGTTACAAATTCTCAGTGACTGAATTGACAGTTTCTTATTTCTAAATTGCTGTGACATGATATTTATTGCAGCCGGTGTTACGTAGAGTGTATAATTCAGTTTCAATTCAATTTAGTTTATTTATATAGCGCCAATTCACAACACATGTCATCTCAAGGCAATTTACAGTTCACCAGATCATACAGTCAAATTGATTCAAAGTATTGTATCTAAGGAAAACCAGTTGAATGCATCGACTCATTGACTCGAATGCAATCCCTCACACTAAGTATGCTTGTAGCGACAGTGGAGAGGAAAAACTCAATTTTAACAGGAAGAAACCTCCAGCAGAACCAGGCTCAGTGTGAATGGCCAGTAATGGCATATAAATAAAAGCAGACCTGAGCTTCTATTATCTCCATCCTTGACTATCAATGTAGATACTGTTAAACAGTAATGACAAATCTGCTAACATAACAACAAAACATAGCATGAAATGTATCTGCATTTATCTTCAAAATCCCTACTATGTTATAATTGGCAGGGCTACTTACTGTTAGTGTGGGCTACTCTTGATATGAGCTATGTATTTTAACACATGCTAAGTTGATAACCAGCCAGCAATTCTACATAGGTTAAATATCTGGATTAAATATGGGTTGCAAATGGGTTTCTCTGCAGGTTTCATTAAGGCAACACATGTTTTGCCCATCTGGGCCTTAACTGGGATCTACCAAGGCTTTACATGGGACCTATCTGGACAATGAGTATGGGTCGCATAAACCTAGCCTGGTTGTAACCTTTGCCCATGCAAAATACATGGGCTCTTTATAGATCCCATTTGGGTAGTCAATATCGGTTTGCTGCATTGGCCTCATATAGCACATTTTACATAGACCTCATAGAGGCTGTCCAGTACAAGCCCATGCCCACCCCTTACCCATGTAGCCCTACTGAAACCCACATGAGGCCCAGCAGAGCATACTGGCTGGGCTGTACCTCCAGGTCAAGTCTAGTGCCAGATGTGTCTCTAGAGAACTGATCTGGACAGAATTTCACCAAAATAAACTACAAAAACCTAAAATAAATCCTCATAACACTGCAGGCGGGGGGCAGGGCACCGCCCAATCTCAGACACTCTAGGGAGGAAACACAGGTAAGTGACCACGATAAACTGATATAAGATTATCTGTTTTGGTCACTTACCTGGTTTAACAGTCCAGACCACGAGTGTCCCCAATGTTGCAGTCCCAGAGGTTATGCTGGAAGCTGATCCTGGTCAGGGATCCAGAACAGACAGGAACAGACAGAAACAGGCAGGATCCAGATCAGGCAGGAACAGACAGAAACAGGTAGCAGGATCCAGACTTCCAGGCATCCACAGGCAGAAGCATGACCAGGTGGTCACGCACAGGAGCAGACAGGATCAGGTGCAGACAGGCAGGCACAGTGGAAGAGGGTAGCCAAGACAGGACGTAGGAACCGGAACTTGAAGCAGGACTTTAAACTGGACTCCTCCCTGGAGCCAGGCTTACTGGATAAAAACTGAACCCTCCCCCATAATGAGCCAAAAACCCAGAGGACTCCGTGGGGGACGAACAGTGGACGATCAGGAGACGAGACAAACACTGAAACCCTCTTTCCACTGGCAGCTAGGATCCAGGACATGAACCATAAAATAAAACAGAACAGAAAGACTGACAGAAAGACAAGCAATGATCTGGCACTGAATGCTCAGGCTGAACTGAATATAAACCAGAGGAAACAGGTGAGAGGAATGAATTATAATTGAGGCAGGGAGGGAAAAGGGCAGGTGAGAGGAATTACTAATTAGGGAGGAGCAAACAGGCCAGATCATGACAGAGCCCCCCCCCCCTCAAGGGCGGATTCCAGACGCCCAAACACTACGAAAAAAAAAGTAAACCAAGCAGGGCGGGTAGGGGGGGTGGGGGTCAAGACCAGACACAGATCATAGAGGGAAAAAAAAACCTAAACAGAACATGGGCTTCTGACATCGGGAGACACAGACCCAAAACACAGACTAACAGAACCTCCCGCATGTCAGAACAGAGCCGAAAAACAAACCCGAAAAGAAAAACCAAAACTATCTTACTGACTGTCCCCCGATGGGTCCTTCTTTGGCCAGATCATTCTGTCATGAAATGCGGACAGATGGACCCAGTATTCAAGGAGAGACAGTCAGAAGGAAAGTTCAAACAAGTTTATTAAATAAACAAAACAAAACAAAGCGGAGCTGTGGCTCGCGGACACTGCAGGCGGGGGGGC